AATTAGTCGAGAAAAAAAAGGCAAGGATATTAAAATAAGTTTGAAGGTTTGCACAAGTTGATCGGGTACTACTTGTATTCTACCTTTGAATCTTAGAAGTATATGGATATATATTTTTTATTCTAACACATTAGAAGCTTCTATACATTAGTTTTTGCATTATATAATTATTATTTCCCGTCAATTTAATAGTATAAAGAGTAAATCACATTTTCTACTAAAACAGGTTTTGCTAAACTTATGAGAAGAAGAGCCATAGAGAAACTAAATTTTAAATCCAATTACATATACATATATGTACAAATGCGAGAACAACAGTGAAAAAAATCATCACTTTTAAACTCTTTGAGCTAGGTCAAAAGTGGTGCATGAGAATGGAGAAAAAAGGCAAGGATTATAATAAGTTTAAAGATGTATTCCCTTTTAATATAAACATAAAAATATATACCAGGGACGTGAAGCCCAGATACCATGTAAAGAAACGTGAATGAGATTCGGTGTATGTTGAGTTGATACAATACAAGGACTTTTAAGAAAGGAAGATTCACTATTATAGCCTAAACTATCTACTTTCATAGTACACAATCAGATACAAAAAGAAAGGCTAACATGAGTTGACTATATTATATTGTTGCCTAAATTGCCTTCCTTAACATAATTTGAGTTTGTGTAAGGGTTTGTAAATCATCAATAGCTCATCTATGCATCTGAAAATAGGGCCCTTGACCCGAAATTAAATGAATTGCGTGATAGAGAAGATGAATATATGCTTGGATAAGTTTTGATTGATGTAGAGGTTGAGAATCCATAGTAAGTTTGACGATTTTAACCCTCAAATTAATGGCAATATTGACGGAGTTAGACGGTAGGACCAATTTGCACCATTATAAAAGTTAAGGGACCATTAGAAAGAAAAATTTAATTAAGGGACCAAAATGCAATTCGTGGACATTTTCAGAGACCATTTGAATTGAAAACGCTTCTTTATTTTTAGCCAAATTCTTGTAGGTTGCTTCACAAATGGATAAACTTGTCCTCCCCATTTTCATTAAAAGGTGTGTGGTAGCAACACTCTCAAATCCATAATCAGAAAGAAGTAGCCAAGTAACCCATCCACAAAGGAAAGATGCGCATGAGCTACAACAAGTAGATGAGTGAAACGACAACGTTGTGGACTAATGATGTATGATAAACAGTCATTTTTGGTTCATGTGGTTTATCATTTTTACCACTAAGGTCCTTGTGGTGTCCATTTCATCAATTTTGCCCATGTAGTTTTAATTCCAAACAATTTAAGGATAATTCACTATTTTTGTCAGATTATTGTAAGTGCATTACTTATCGAATACATGTCCTTCACGTGGAGGGGCATTTAGGTCCAATCATTGACAAAATAAAAGAAGAGAAACAAACATGACTACCAGTGTCACACTTACTTTTAAAATATTCAAATTTTGGAGTATAGCCGCGCGGTTATACTCTATACTTTTAAAATTTTCTACTTATAGTGTATGGTCATACGGTTATACTCTTTAAAGAAAGAAACATTGTAAGTCGAGTATAAGCAACATACCATGTCTATACAACAAGAAACATAAATAGTATACAATAATACTAAACATACCCATGTCTATAGACATGGTATGTTTAGAGAGAGAGCCGAATTACAGTTAAGAATAAGACTATCCACGAAATTATTCGAATTAATATTTTTCTTCTGACTCTTATATCCATGTTTCATAAGAAACGGTAGTTACAATTTTTTGACAAAAATTAAGAATTATCTTAAATTGCTTGGAATTAAAATCGCGCGGTCAAAATTTTTTTCGCGACTCACGTGCATTGTGCACATGGGCTGGCAAACCCAAGAAGTTGGGCACACTTGGTCGTCATTCTCATCTTTGTTTCCTCTCTCCTTGTTTTTGGCAGTTCTTCTACTTCTACGCTACAGGTATAATATGCTTTTCCCGTTTGATTTCTTTATTTTATTTTGTGGGTATCTTTGTAATTCTGAATACTTATTATATCATCCCGTTCTTGATTTGTATTTGCTCAAAATTGTCGCAAAAATCATCAAATTACTAACAAAATTGAACAAGTTAGCTTCTGGAGACTTTGTTCCCAACATTTCGTATGTATTTCCAATTTTCTATTGCGCCCTAGAGATGTTCATCACTGTTTGTTTCCCTTACTAATCACATCTTTTAATTTAGTCCCGAGTCTAACTGAAAATGGCGTTATGTCATGACAAGAAAGTTAGGTCTTTTCCATGTGTTCTTTGTTTAGTTGCTCCAGTTTAATCACATTTTCGTCTCTCGATATTACGCGGGATATAATCTATAATGTGTTTCCTTTCCTCTGAATGTATGCGATTCACATCTGAATCAAATCAAGGGCAGAACTTATCTGCACTTGGAATTGCTGAAGGCTACATTTTGTTCTCATGCTCACTACCTGTATGAGGAAAGTCCTCCATGGATTGAATCATGGAGTGAGAGGGAAAAATTAATTTTAAAATGCATACGAACCATGATATCTTTACAATCAATCTTGCTGTACTTGTATATTTCTGATTAAGTCATTACTTGGATTTCTTGCTGCTTGTTTTGAAGCAATGTTATGCAAAACATGGCTTTGTTAGTTTAATCCAACACCTATTTGAATTTTTCAATGCTTGTATTGGTTGTATCTGGCGATCGGCTTTTCATGTGAGTTGTTGTGCTTTGTGATAGGAACCCTCTTCTATTTGAGTGGTAAATTTTTTTTTTTTACTTATAGCTTAATAAATATACTAATTTATGTTTCTATACAGAAGAAACAACAAAGTCAAAATATTTCCATAACGTTTTGAAGTTCTTCTCAAAAGCAAATCTGGTGCCGAACAAAAGAAGATGCAATGGGAGCCTCCAGAGGACCAAGGCTTTCTGGGATGCAGAAACAAGTCCTTAGTCTATACAGAGGGTTTCTGAGGGCAGCCCGTGCAAAATCTGCTGAAGATCGACAGCAGATTGAGTCACTTGTGTCAAGTGAGTTCCGCCGCAATGCCAAGGAGGTAGACCGCAAAAATTTCCTTTACATTGAGTACTTGCTTCGCCGCGCTAGGAAACAGCTTGATCAGCTCAGGAGCCCCGATATTGTTGGATTATCAGCCCTGAATGTCAGTTTTTCGCAGACAAAACATCCTACAAATTGAAGTAAGAATTTCATCTATTCTTATTTACTTGTCGAGCCAAATTTAGTTTGATCCATTGTTTAAACAGGGTAACAGATGAAATTAAATTTTTGGCTGAAATTTCCATGTTACTATAAAATCTCAATGTAAGCTATTCAGATAGCTCTAAATTGTGCGATTCATTGATGGTCATGGTCTTCTACGGCTATGTGTATTGATTATCTTCCTGATAATGATAATAATAGCTTATTGGACTTTGTTGATAGTTTCAAGTCCTGTTTTCTGTGTTGGTTATTGTTCGTTAGACGATAAAAAAAAAAGAGCAATGATTGATTTGAGACAAGTTGCGAAAGAAAATTGTGGTTTGTCTGATGGGAATGGTAAGCAAATATTACTTTCGAAGACTGATCTAGAAATATAATTCAAAGTTGCACTTAACAAACTTGAAATGAAAAAAATATCTTGCGAATGTGACTCCCCATTGTCCCAACTTAATGGCTCACTAAAGCAAGACCCAAAAAACAAAACTGCAACAAACTAAGAAATGGAGAAGACAATAAAACCCAGAAGAGCAAACAAGGAAAAGAACCCAACAAGATGGTCTGGCCATAAAACAGAACAGGAACCCAAATTCAACCTCGACAACCAGGAAGTGAAACCTCAAGCAAAGAATGCTCATTGCTCAAAAGCATCTTTATTACAATTAAAGCAGCAAACCTTTGTATCAAAAGAAAATGGTATTGAAGCAAACCATTGCTTTTCTTACTATGAGCTTATTATTTTCATGCCATATGAAAGAGGATTTGCCTATATTGCCCAATCTTCCATCTAGTATAACTGATATATCAGTCTTATAAAGCTAGACAAATAATATGCAAATGTGGGTTAAGTCAGTTGGCCAATGAAATAAGCTGGATCTTTTGCACTCAAGTTCGAATTCCCCTCCCTGTAAATTAGATTAACTTAGAGACGATTATTGCTTGTATTAAAAGAAATAGAAACATGTATATAGAAGTTTACCAGTTTTGATCTCTCTTTTGCATTTTCTTTCTCAATTTTAATTTGTTAGTTTACTTATTTCATCAACTTCATCCCATAAACCATTAACCTAAAGAAGTGAACTTTATGCGACTTCCTTTCACTCTTCCCCTAACGTGTGCTGCCTTCTAGACTACATTGACTATGAAGGATGCTGCATTTTAGGTTCAGATTAATCAAAGTCTGACACCACATAGACATGCTCTGTTTATTTAATTGGGTAGCACAAATCTTCCTTTAATGGGGAGCAAACTTATATAAATAATTATATGTCAGCACTCCTATTCAAAGGAAAATATATTTTAATACAAGTTGGATGGAGGGAGTGGACTTACATGCATATGACAAGTACAGAGAGTTTGTTCACATTTTCACTACATCACTTGCTTCTGAGTTCAGAGAACCCAAGATATCTTTAATCACCCACATGTCAGTCTGATATAGTAATGTAAGTGAGGGAACATTTGCAGTTTGGTGTGATTAAGAAAAGATTTCTAATTTCTTTCATTTATGGAGCACCAGAATCCCCTACAAAGTTGAAATGGTCACTGAAATTATTTTGGATTATGCTATAGCTATGTCACTCTCTACTCTAATTTTGGATTGTGATCTGTTGATTCCATTTAATTATGTTTTCAACTCTATTCTCTGTCTTGATTTCAACTCATATCAGTCACCACACCAGAAATTCTCTCAGAAAATTTTCTTAGAGAGATGGTAAGGGCAATTCCATTTCTGATCATATGATTTTGTGATTAAGAAGATACAGTAGAAGAGAAAATATGGAAATATGGCCTCAACTGCAACCGATCTCTTGATTGGCAAAGTTGCAGGCATTCTTGAGAGCGAAGCATCCTCCATAGTAGGTGTTCGTGATCAAGTTGATGAGATTAAGCAAGAGCTTATAAGCATGAAATCCTTCCTAAAGGATGCTGAGGGGAAGAAACCGCAGACAGAAGGAGAGGAGACATGGGTAGCTAGCGTGGGAGATTTGGCCTACGATGTTGGAGATATCATTGATAAGTTCATGTACCACATGCATGAGCAGCAGAGTGGGGTTAGATTTGCCAGCTTGCTCCGCAAAACCATTCGCTTTCCAAACTATTGGAACAGAGGTCGATTTGCAAGGTGGCTCCACAAAACCAGACACAACCCTAAGTATCTTTGGTATAGGAGTCGATTTACAAGGTGGCTCCACAAAACCATTCACATTCCAAACTATAGGGGTCGATTTGCAAGCTGCCTTCACAAAGCCATTCACATTCCAAAGAAACTTTGGTATAGGCGTCAAATTGGCAAAAAGTTACAGAAAATCACAAAAACCATCAAAGACATTACAGAGAGGAATCAAAGATACGATAATGATCCCCTAGAAGGAACAAGTTCAGATGACATTCAAAAATGGGTGAAAAACCAAGCAGAGTCTTCCCTTTTTATTAAGGAAGACGAACTTGTGGGGATTGAAGACAAGAAGCAAATTTTGATGGGATGGCTGATGAACGGAGAGCAACAACAAGCGGTTATCTCTGTGGTCGGGATGGGAGGATCAGGGAGGACAACTCTAGTTGCAAAAACCTTCACCAGTGAAAGTGTGAAGAGGCATTTCAGCTGTTATGCGTGGATTACGGTTTCCCAAAGTTATGTGATTGAAGATTTGTTTAGAAGCTTGATCAAGGAAGTCCACCAAGCAACGAAGGAAGAGGTCCCTGCAGCTGCAGACTTCAATTCCATGAGCTATAGGGAATTGCTACATATACTCGTAACCTACTTGGAGTCTAGAAGGTACCTTGTTGTATTGGATGACGTGTGGGATATAAAACTTTTGAAAGAAATGAGGATAGCACTTCCAAATAGACAGCTTGGAAGTCGAATCATGCTCACTACTCGAAAAGAAGAGATAGCCTTCTATTCTTTTGGAGTAGAAAGCCATGTTCATCGTATTCAACCGCTGAAAAAGAATGAGGCTTGGGAGCTCTTCAGCAAGAAAGCATTCTCAACTTACCATAATAAACGTTGTCCACCAGAGCTTGAATCATCAGCTTGGGAACTTTTGGGGAAATGTAAAGGTCTACCCCTAGCAATCGTAGCTTTAGGTGGTCTTATGTCTTCCAAGGAGTCATCTACGGAGTGGAGAAAAGTCTGCAACAGCATAAATTGGCATCTAATAAATGATCATTTCCTAGAACCTGCGAAGACAATCTTGTTTCTCAGTTTCAACGATTTGCCATATCGACTGAAACATTGCTTCCTATATTGTTCAATTTTCCCAGAAGATTATTTGATTCGAGCAGAAAGGCTTATTAGATTGTGGATAGCTGAAGGCTTCGTTGAACATGTTAAAGGGGTTACACCGGAAGAAGTTTCTGAGAGCTATCTTATGGAACTCAATTTTCGTAGCATGTTGCAGGTTGTAAGGTGTCCAACTATAAGACAAGCATGTAAGATGCACGATCTTATGCGGGAGCTTGCTTTGTCCACATTAGAAAAAGAAAAGTTTTGTGTTGTCTATGATGGGAGAGAAGTAATGGAAGAAATCAGAGCTCGTCGTTTGTCAATTCAGACATCTGAAGGAGAAATTAAAGTATGCAAAGGTATGTCGCAGCTTCGTTCATTTCATGTGTTTGTCACTGGTGTATTCTCGCCGTCTATTTCAAGTACATTGCTTTCTCAATTCAAATTGTTGAGGATTCTAGATTTGGAGGATGTACCAATTGAAGAACTGCCTGATGGTCTTATGTACTTATTCAACTTAAGATATTTAAGTTTGAGTAGAACTTCAATTAAAAAACTTCCAGAATCCATAGGACAGCTTTGCAATCTTCAAACCTTAGACATCAGCGACACAGAGATTGAAACACTTCCGAAGGAAATTGCCAAGTTGGTAAACCTACGCCATCTAATTATGTATCGATACAGTGGAGCATCTTGGAAATTTGGATATGCTAAAGGGATTAGAGCACCATCAAATATTTGTATGTTGAAAAAATTGCAAGTTTTGTCATTTGTTGAATCAGACTCGGAAGGAAACTTTTTAAAACTTGTTGGGAACATGACCCAACTTACTCACATTGGCATTACAAATGTAAAAGGAAGTAATGAGATGAACCTTTGTGCTTCCATTCAAAAGATGAAGCTCCTTCGCTACCTGTATTTATTGGTTACAAGTGAAGAGGAATTTCTTCGAATCGATGCACTTGCTTCTCTCCCAGGTCCTCTGTCGCACCTTCAAAGGCTTCTTTTGAGCGGCAAACTAGCAACTGTACCAAGTTGGTTTGGTTCACTCAGGAGCCTCACAGATATCAGTCTACGTTGGTCTAGACTTAAAGAAGATCTACTACCACACATTGAAGCACTGCCCTGTCTTAGAAGGCTTATCCTTGTTAATGCCTATGTTGGGAATGAATTGTGCTTCAATATAGGCTTTGCAAGGCTCACACATCTGGAGTTGCTTAATTTCCCCTTTTTGAAAAATATAACAATAGAAGAAGGTGTGATGCCGAAACTCCAGTTGTTAATACTTCATTGCTGCATGAAATTAAAGGCATTACCACACGGTCTTGAATTCCTTAGGAATCTAGAAACATTGAGATTGGGGTCTGTTCCGATGAAAATTATAGAAAATATACGAGAAGGAGGCCTGGATCATCCAAAGGTACAACACATCCGTGAAATTGACCAAATTTACGAAACATCATCTGCTACTTCTTCTGCAAGGTGAAAGCTCGCCCCACGATTCTTTCCCCACACCGTAAGTTTTCTGTCCTTCCATTGACTTTCCAAAGCTTAATCATGTTAGATCCTTTAACTACTGCTATATAAGCCACTTCTCATTTACAAGTCTGTTTTATGTGCATTCATTTTGATTATGGGGTGTTGCTCTGTCTCCTTTACAGACTCAAATTGGAGAAGCATGGTGCAAAGATGAATTTGTGTGAAGATGGAAAGACTGAGCTTCTTGTTTTGCACTACTTAATATTTGTATTTTCTGATCAAATGTTGTTTGTACTCTAGCTTGGCTGATTAAACAATTCCTAGTGCTTTCACTGCTGATTTTTATTTTTAATTTTAAATCTCATTAAGAGTGAGTTATTTATTTATTATTTTTATTATAATGAGTTTGAATATTTTGCTATTATTACCAACATTATTAGAATTATTATTACTTTTACAATTCATTTTGCAATGCAACAACACTATTAGTCAGGAGCTCATAATTCTGGATTTCTGATTCTACCATCAAGTTTCTTCAACCTGTGGTATCCTTGCAATTATTAATCAAAAGTCAACTGGAGTTATCCATGGAGGGCCTGGAAGTTATAATGTAAAAATATGGAAAACATTGATTACAAGTAATGATTCCTCCATGGAGGGCCTAAGCAAAGTGAGAATACAGATTTCACTATGCCCACTTTGCTCATTTTGTTCTCTGCTTTGCTAAATTATTTGGAAATGAAGTAGACAGGTTTTTCATTTTCTCCCAGATTTCACCATGCCCCTGCCGTGCATTGTTACTGATGTTATTTATCAAGTTTTTCACCATACAATTATATGTGTTCTACGGTTGTTAAAAGTTTTCCGGATCAAGAGAAGATAATTAGCAATGTACAAGTATAGGAAACTCTCAAAATCAATAATTGAGCATTAGATACTGATTACTACTTCTGAAGGCATTACATAATCAAATAGCAAACACACTCACAAATCAAATTACATAAAATTCCATAGTCTCAAAGAAAAATTCACTAATGATCAAATTGCTTCAAATAAAACTTGAGATAGTGATGGAAAATAATTAAGATTTGCAGCCTCACACAAGAAAGCAAGGGTTCTTCTAGGCGCAACTGGGTAAAATCTTTTAGTCTCAGACTAGATTCTGCATGGCAAACAACAAATGCGAAATGATAATCAAACAGAATTTCAATACAAAATTCTTGTGCTATCGAAACTAACTATTGCAGACCTTTAGTCCATGGACAAAAATACATGGCCTTAACAAACAGTTCGTACTAGAATAGTTTATATGATGCAAGATTAGGGAAATTAAGGCATATATAAAAAACGAAAAAGGAAAACCAGGAGACCAAAAAAAAAAATTTAAAACCTCACATACCTCCTTCCAAAACAACTAGGACAAGCTTTCACGACACATCATCCCCAGTGACGATTTGTAATAATGGTAGATCTCAGGGATGTGTTGTACCTTTTCACGATCCACACCTCCTTCTCGTATAGAATCCTTAAGTTCCTTTGATACAACCACCAATGTCAATACTTTTAGTTCAGTGAGGTATTCAAGACCCTGTGGCATTGTGTTTAGTTCTGGGCAGTTTTCAAGGCATAAGAATTGGAGATTTGACATCACCCCTTTCTCTACAGTTACCTTGTTCAATAAGGGGCAAGTAGACAATTCCAATTTCGTAAGCTTTGCAAAGCCTCTGCTGAAACATAACTCTCTGCCAGCATATGCATTAACAAGTGTAAGCCTTCCCAGATTGGGCAGTGCTTCAATGTAAGGTAGTAAATCTTCTTCAATTCCAGACCAAATCAGATTCAAATGTGTGAGGCTCTGGAGTGAGGAGACCCAACGTGGTACCTTTTCCAATTTTCCATTCAAAATAACTGTTCGAAGATGGGGAGGAGGTGAGCACAGTGTGTTTGTTTGAAGAACTTCCTCTTCATCGCTTGTCATTAGAAACAAGTAGCGAAGTTGCTTCATCTTTCGAATTGAGGCACATAGGTCCATCTCGTCTCTTTCTTTTACATTCGTAATTCCAATCCTTCTAAGTTGGGTCATATTCCCCACAAGTCTAACAATCTTTCGTTCTAATTCAACACAAGCCAAAACTTGCAATTTCTTCAACATACATATATTTGATGGTGATCTTGTCCCATTCACATATCTGAAGCCCCTATGCTCTTCAGTGCGACGATACATAATTAGATGGCGCAAGTTTTGCAACTTGGCAATTCCACATGGAAGTACCTCTATCTTTGAGTCCCTGATATCCAAAGTCTGAAGGTTGCGGAGCTTTCCAATGGATTCAGGAAGCTTCTTAATTGGAGTTCCCCTTAAATTTAAATATCTTAAATTGAATAAGTACGCAAGTTCTTTTGGCAGTATATCAATTGGAACATATTGCAAATCTAGCACCCTCAACAATTTGCATCCAGAAGGCAATGTATTCGAGGAAGAGGATGAGGACACGTCAGTAACAAACACAAGAAAAGAACGAAGTTGTGCCATACCTGTGCCTAGTTTAATTTCTCCTCCAGTGGTTTGAGTTGACAAGCGGCGCACTTGAACTTCATCCATAACATCTTTTCCATCATATACAGCACCAAACTTTTCTTTTTCTGATTTAGACAGAGCAAGCTCCCGCATAAGGTCGTGCATCTTACATGATTTGGGCCTTCCACTTTCATTCCTCTGAACAACCTGTAGCATGCTACGGAAAATGAGCTGCATAAGATAGCTCTCTGCAACTTCTTCTGGTGCGGCGCCTTTTCCCTCCTGAACAAACCCTTCAGCTATCCACAACCTAATGAGCCTCTTTCTGCGAATCGAATAGTCTTCTGGGAAAAGGGAACAGTACAGAAAACAGTGCTTCAATGGGTATGGTAAATCATCAAAACAAAGCAACAAGATGCTCTTCACTGGCTCTAGCAACGGATGGTTAGTTAAATGCAAGTTTAAGCTGTTGTAGACTTGCTTCCACTCGAATGGCTTCTTGGAGGACATCAGACCACCTAAAGCCACCACTGCCAGAGGTAGGCCTTCACACTTTTCTACAAGTTCCTCAGCCAATGATTGAAGATCTAGTGGACAACATTTATTCTGGTAAGCTGAGAATGCTTTGCTGCTGAATAGCTCCCAAGCATCATTCTTTTCGAGGGGTTGAATGTGGTGAATATGACTTTGTACTCCAAAACAATAGGATGCTACGTCTTCTCTTCGAGTAGTAAGCATGATTCGAGTTCCAAACTGTGTATTTGGGAGTGCTATCCTCATTTCTTTCCAAAGTTTGATATCCCACACATCATCCAATACAACCATGTACCTTTTAGACTCCAAGTAATTGACCAGCACCTGTAGCAATTCTCTATATGTCATGGAATTCATGTCTGCAGGGACCTTTTCCATCCTTGCTTCGTGGAATTCCTTAATCAAGCTTCTAAACAAGTCATCAATCACATAAGTTTGTGAAACAGTTAGCCAAGCACAACAGTGGAATTTTTTCTTGACCCTTTCGTCGTTGAAGGTCTTGGCAACTAAAGTCGTCTTCCCTGATCCGCCCATCCCCACCACAGAGATAACCGTTTGCTGTTGCTCTCCATTCAGCAACCAATTGATCAATAGTTGCTTCTTTCTTTCAATCCCCACGAGCTCATCTTCCTTAATAAAAAGAGAAGATTCCGCTTGGTTCTGCATCCATTTGCCAACATCATCACAAGTATCACTTGTTCCTTCTAATCCACCGACACCATATCTCTGATTCCTCTCCGGAATGGCTTTAATCCTTCTTGAGATTTTCTGCAACTTCTTTGACATTTGACGTCTGAGCCAAACATTCGGTGGAATGCGAATAGTTTGGTGGAACCACCTTGCAAATCGGCCATCATGACATCCTCGCTCATACATGTGATACATGAACTCGTCAATGATGTCTTCAACATCATAGGCCATGCCTCTGACGCTTGCAACCCACGTCTCCCCACCTTCGGTGAGTGACTTCTTGCCCTCAAAATCATTTAGGAAGACCTTCATGCTTACAAGCTCCTGCTTGATGTCATCAATTTCATCACGAACACCGGCTATGGAGGATGCTTCGTTCTCAAAAATGGTCACAATTTTGCCAATCAAGAGGTGTGTTGGCAAGGCCATAACTGGCCTTGTATCCAAACTAGTTGCTTACAATGGTAGAACGAATTTGAATATAGGAAAGGTTGATAGATGAGCCAAATGAATCAAATGACGATTTCAGCTGGCAGTGGAAGCTCCTCCAATGTGCAAGAAATTTCAGTGATTTGAAATTGTATCAGTGGAAGCTCCCTCTCTCCTTTTTTTTTCTCCATATTTGTTTTTCTTCCTCTCTCCACTCCATCTCTCAAATTCTCAAGTGATCAGTGGCAAGTGCTATTTTATAATTTCTCGAAGAGGAGAACAAAGAGGTCCAATTGAAGATGGGATCGACAACCACCCATTAAAAAAACAGCTGTAAACATGAAAGCAAGAGCTAATTGAGAAAAAAGAAAATTTCTTGCATTATTACTACCCGTTTGGACCAAAGAAATTTTCCCAAAGGCGAGCGTGATTTACGGAGAGAGTTGCTTCACGTACATTATGACAACACGTACATTAGACCATCTCCAACCTTTGGGGTGGAAACTCAAATTTTGAGTTTAGCCTCCCAAAATCATCTCCAACCCATGTATTTTGGGAGGTGAAAATTTGAGATAGCTCAAACTTGGACTGGAATTCCACCCAAAATTCTGCCTGGACTGGTAATTACGTGGGGCCCAATCTGCTTTAACATATAATTTTTTATTGTAGAAAAGCAACAGCCCATGTGCCCAACTTTGCTCGCTGGCCCACTTTGACAAGTGGGAATCTTCATTCCTTTTCTGTTTTTGACAACCAACGGCTAGTTTTTCAAGTTTTTGTTATGCTTTTTTTTTTTTTTTTTTTTTAAAATTTCCCAAAACTAAAAAAAAAACAAT